TATGCATATATTCTGACCATAATGCTATGAAACTTGAAATCAACCTCAAGAAAAATTTTGGGAAAACCACAAATACATGGAGGTTAAACAACATGCTACTGAAGAATGAATGGGTCAGCCAGGCAATCAAAAAAGAAATGAAAAATATCTATATGGAAACAAATGAAAATGAAAACATAACAATCCAAAACCTTTGGGATTCAGCAAAAGCAGTCCTAAGAGGGTAATATACAGCAATATAGGCTGCTGCAGAAGGGAAATAATGAGGAGGAGAAATAAATGATATAGAAACTAAAATTTTTTTTTAAAAGAACACATCAATGAAACCAGGAGCTATTTGAAAAAATAACCCCCTAGACAGACTTATGAAAAAGAGAAAGGATTCCAATAAATAAAACAAATGAGAGATGAGAAATAACCAACACAACAGAAATATAAACAATTATAAGAAAACGGTATGAAAAATTATATGCCAACAAATTGAATAATCTGGAAGACATAGATATATTCCTATAAACACAAAGTACCAAAACTGAAACAGGAAGAAAGAGAAAACTTGTACAGACTGATAATCAGGAATGTAATTGAATCAGGGATCAAAATTCTCCCAACACACACACAAGTGTAGGGCCAGATGGCTTCCCAGGGTAATTCTACCCAACATTTAAAGAAGAGTTTATACCTATTCTTCTCAAACTATTCCAAAAATAAAAAGGGAAGGAAAACTTCCAAACTCATTCTTTGAAGCTAGCATTACCCTGATTTCAAAACCAGACAAATAATCCACTAGGAAAGAGAACTACAGGCCAATATCCCTGAGGAACATGGATGCAAAAATTCTCAATAAAATAAAATACTGTTGTATCCAACAGTACATTAAAAGAATCATTCACCACAAACAAGTGGGATTTATGTCTGGGCTGCAAGCAGGGTTCAATATTCACAAAAATCAATCAACATGATACACTACATTAGTAAAAGAAAGGATAACTACACGATCCTCTCAGTAGATGCAGAAAATTCTGCATTTGACAAAGTCCAACATCCATTCATGATAAGAACCCTCAACAAAGTAGGATTAGAGGAAGCACACCTCAACATCATAAAGGCCATGTACAAAAGACCTGAAGCTAATATTATCCTCAGTGGGGGAAAACTGGGGGGAAACTAGGATCTTTTCTTCTAACTTGTCTGTCAAGAACAAGACAGGGATGTCCACTCTTACCACTATTATTTAACATAGTACTTCAAGTTCTAGCCACAGCAATCAGACAACAAAAAGAAATAAAAGGCATCCAAATCGGAAAGGAAGAAGTCAAACATTCACTCTTTGCAGATGACATGTACTCTCTATATAAAACTTAAAGGACGCCACCAAAAAAATGATAGAACTGATACACGAATTCAGTATAGTCACAGAATACAAAAATCAATATACAGAAAGTACAGTACCAATAACAAAGTACCAGAAGGAGAAATGAAGGAATTGATCCCATTTACAATTGCACCTAAAACCCTAAGATACATAGGAATAAACCTAACCAAAGAGGTCAAGTATCTGTACTATAGCCAAAGAGGTCAAGTATCTGTGCCCTGAAAACTATACAACACTGTTTAAATAAATTGAAGAGGACACAAAGAAATGAAAAACATTCCATGCTCATGCATTCAAAGAATATAGTTAAAATGTATTTATTACTCAAAGCAATCTACATATTTATATCATAATACCACCAGCATTACTCACAGAACTACAACGAACAATCTTAAAATTTGTATGAAACCACAAAAGACTCCAAACAGCCAGAGCAATCTTGAAAAACAAAAGCAAAGCTGAAGGGATCACAATTTCCAACTTGAAGCTATACTGCAAAGCTGAAGTGATCAAAACAGTATGGTGATGGCACAAAGACAGACAGAGAGATCACTGGAACAAAATAGAAAACCGAGAGATGGATGCCTAAGTATATAGGCAACTCTTCTTCGACAAAGGAGTTAAGACATCCAGTGGAAAAAAATTACCATCTCTTCAACAAATGGTGCTGAGAAAACTGGACAGCAAAATGCAGAAGAATGAAATTGGACCACTTTCTAATACCACAGACACAAAAAAATAAATTCAAAATGGCTGAAAGACCTAAATGTGAGACAGGATACCATCAAATTTCTGGAGAAGACAGGCAGTTGTCATTTTGACATCAACCATGGCAATTGCTTTCTAGATATATTTCCTGAGGCAAAGGAAACAAAATCAAAAATAAACTACTGGGACTACAACAAAATAAAAAGCTTCCCCACAGTGAAGGAAAAAATCAACTAAAAGGCAACCTATGAATGGGAGAAGTTATTTTCAAATGACGTATCTGATGAAGGGTTAGTATCCACAATCTATAAAGAACGTATCAAACTCAACACCCAAAAAGCAAATAATCCAAACAAAAACTGAGGAGAAGACATGAACAGACACTTCTCCAAAGACGACATCCAGATGTCTAACAGACACATAAAAGGATGCTCAACATCACTCATCATCAAGGTAATATAAATGAAAACTACAATGAGAAATCACCTCACACAAGTCAGAATGCCTACAGTTAACAACACAGAAAACAACAGATGCTGGCAAGGATGTGGAAGAAGGGCAACTCTCTTACAGGGTTGGTGGGAATGCAAACTGGTGCAGCCTTTCTGGAAAACAGTATGGAGGTTCCTGAAAAAGTTAGAAAGAGAACTACCCTACAATCCAGCAATTGCACCACTAGGTTTACCCAAATGACACACAAATACTAATTTGAAAGGATACACCCAGCCTGATGTTTGTCTCAACATTATCAACAATAGCAAAGTTATGGTAAGAGCCCAAATGTCCCTGGACTGATGAACGGATAAAGAACATGTATATAAATGTTCTTATACACATACATACAATGGAGTATTACTCAGTTACAAAAAAGTGATGAAATCTTGCCATTGCCATTTGCAATGGACAGGAAAGTAACTGAAGAGTAGTATGCTAAGGAAATTAGGTCCGTCAGAGAAAGACAAATATCCCATGATTTCACTCATATATGAAATTTTAAAAAGTGAAACAAATGAACACAGGGATGGGGTGAAAGAGGCAAACCAAGAAACAGAACTGAGGGTTAGGGTATGATGGGAAGGTACACAGACAGGGTGTCTTAAATAAGAGACGGGTATAAAGGAGGGCACTTGTGATGAGTACCAGGTGTTGTACATAAGTGGTGAGTCACTAAATTCTACCCATGAAACAAATATTACACTGTATATTAACTAGCTGGATTTTAATTAAAACTTGGGGAAAATAAAGAGCTTATAGAAAAACCTTCAAAAAGATTCTGTAATTAAAAATTCCTCACCTGAACCACAAAACATACTCAATTATTGTCATGTTACTATATTTTGAATTCTCTTAAGAATGCAATAGAAGAGTGTCTAACTCATTACATGGTGTGAATGCCTCAGGGTGGTGGTTCCCAAACTTCAGTATATTAGGATCACATGGCAGAGTTGTTTGTTGAAACACAAATTGCTGGGCTCCATTCCCACAGTTTCTAATTAAGTAGGTCTGAGGTGGAGCCCCTGAATTTGCATTCTGACAAGTTCCAAAGCATACTGATTCTATCTGGGAACCACACTATGAAAACCAGTGCATTAGCACTTAATTCTCCAGCAAAAACTAGAAATAAATGCTTCTCTAATGTAAGGAACATGAGATTACATTCATTTTCTCTTCTAAAATATATTAGGAAGAATGACATGTGATACCTTTAAGTGTTTCAGGATAAACAATTGCAGAGGATAAGGCAGATGTGGTCTAGCTCTGCAACATTTAGGATGTAAAAGAGTATCTGAATAAATATTTATGAGAGCTTAACCTTGATATAATTAACAGCCAATTACAGATAAATTCCTGTACTCCAAATTCATTATTTTAGGAAAACAATACAAACCATGACATACAATTTTTATCATTAAAATGGATTCTCATTTACAGCCTTTCTTTTTAAAACTAACCCATCAAGATTGAGTCATAATTTATTGTATTTCTGATCTTCTATCCAAAATAGGAGGCACTCTTTGATCATAAGTGTTAATAACCCTATTACCACTACCTCATATTCTTTAGAGTCCATCTATTCAAACTCTTTCTACATTATTTAGCATCAGTCAACCTATGAGTTACTGTAGTTATAACATATTTCATGGGGAATTTCCTAACAAGCATAATACCTAATATTCAGTAACTATTTAATCCATCAATATGCAATAAATCCCAGGAAAACCTATGTAGGTCCCAAAACATTTTCAGAACATGAAAACCAAACAGGTCATCTGGATCATCTAAGCATGAAGGAATTATGTGAGATTTTAAAAGAAGTTATTTTGTTAATTGAAATGTTAAAGGTATCGGTATAGCTGTGCAGGCCATTTACCAAACAGGCCTAAAACGGCTGTCCTTACTTTTCCACCTACATATGGGAAACTGGCTCTTACAGCATTCTCAGTGAACAGCCAATAAGTATGGCTCACTGTGCTCAGACTATTTGCATCAACAACACGATTGATGTTGGACAGCTACTTTCTTTCTGGGCATCTGGCATTTTTATACATGCTAAGGCAGAGGATGCGTATGTGACCAGCTGCAATAAACACCTTGGACTCTAAGTCTCTAACGGGCTTTGCTGAGAAGGACCATCACATACATGTTTCTCAATTTTCATTGCTGGTGCAGAGAAGTAGGTGCTTTGTGTGACTTTTCGGGGAAGGTGAAAACTTAAGAGAACACATGTATTCTTTCAGACTCTGAATGTGTTTTCTCATATGACCCAGCTGTGAATCCTCTGTACTTCACTGTTGTCAAGTTTAACCATGAGTCCAGTTATCCATGGAATCCCCCAAATTCTTCCAGCCAATCTCCAAAGAGGGGAGTATTTTTGCAGATGCCCAATACAGTAGTTTTCAGAAACCAGGATTCTTACCTGCTGATATGCTTCATAGATCACATCAAATAGAAAAGCCTGTGGCATTTCACTTGCTCTGTGTCTGGCACGTTCTAGTGAATGCTCTAAGCAACCATCAGCAGATGGACTGATTACAGTAGATACAAGAGGTCGAATTGCTCCTGCTGCCTAAAGAACAAACAGAGATCCAATTAACATTTATTTCACTTAGAGCATATTTCAAAGCCAAACTCTAAACTCTCTCTCTCTCCCATTTTGGGGAGGTTTTATTTCTAGCTTCAACAAACAACCTGAAGAAAATATTTGAACAAGAGTTACTTTGGTGAATCAGCATTTCATATCAAAAAACTTATTTCTTATTGTTACAGTTCCAAGTAAGAGGAAGAGATACTCTTTTCCATTATAAGTTCATATTTGTTTTTTTATCACTAGCCATAGAAGTCTCATTCTAGATTAGACTGATAAGATACAAGTGGCTATTTTTTGAATTTGAGAGGGAGAAGAGTTACTGTGGAAAAACTGGAGAAGGAATACACATCAATATTTCCTAGTGGGCTTTCCAAAGACTTACCTTAAACACAGGTAATTAAGGAAACAGACCTATCTCCTAAGATGGCCAAAATGAGACTCAACCTAAGTAACAATGAATTTATATCATACTCTAATTCCTGTAATAAAAAACAAAACAAAACCCAAAACATTCCCTTCCAACTATCTCAGTGCAATGCACCCTCATGAAAAGTAGCCATTGATTTCAGTTGCTCTAAAGAAACTGTCTCATTTATAAGTATATCTAAACATTACAAAAAGGCAACTTCATACCTGACAATTTGTCCCCTTTATCTTTAGTAGTGTTTCACTGTAGTCTTGAAGGTCATTCTCAGACAAGTGCTCTGGAGAAGTTGTTTTAAAATATAGTTCCTGAGGCAGGCCATTAACCAAACCTCCTCTCAAAGTTCCTATCTTCCACCTTACTAATACATAGATAATAAAGCCCATCAAATTGATATATCAGCAACTTTGGTCTTGAGAATACTAGTATTTGTTCAGAATAAATAGTCCATAAACTGACTGATAAAATCCAAGAGACTGGCTGAAAATCAAAGCTAATGTGTGAGCCAAGTAGACAGTTTATAAACTGTCACAATTCCCAGAGACTTAAGTAGAAATTTGGAGCCTCGGAATAAAAGCAAAAATAAGTAGACTGCCAAGGCTGACAGGAAAGCAGTGACATCCAAGTAGGTCAAAGTTCAGTAATGAGCAAATCCAACTGGTCAAGCCCAACACCTATCAGTAAAGGTTAGAAAACAAGAGAAACACATACACATGTGTGAGCGCACACATAACTTTTTAAGAGAAAAGTTCTATTTACATTGCAACTATGTACAAGAAATATTGGAATTGTATACTAGGCCATGTAGCAAAATTTCTATTTAATATAGAACATGAAACACAAAATATCAGCAAGAGGACCTCAGTAGACTTTCTCTCCAGCTAAAGAACTAGTGAGTAACATTTTTACAACAACCATTTAAAGTCTTTGAAGGGCTTGTGGGGATGAGCACTGGGTGTTATATGGAAACCAACTTGACAATAAACTGTTAAAAAAAAATAAAGTCTTTGAAGGGCATGCATCAAATGCAACTTTTTTAAAAGAAAATCAACCAAATCTTGGTAAAAACAGAGCTTGTGGTACTCAAGGCATGCTCTATTTCTTCCTTAATAATCCACTCAGCTGAGTGTGACTTAAGTTCTACTAGGAGTAGGTATGGATGAAAAGATGGGGCTCCCTGTCCCATTACCTCCCAGAGGGAAGGGCAGAGGGTTAGCTTCCCATTCAGCCCCAGGTCACAGACCCTAAATTAAGGAAACTGCAGACAAGAGACTGCAGACTCCCTTCCAACCATATAGCTGCTACTCATGACTGCATTATCCAGGCACAGTAGGCAGAGAATGAATATTGGACCCTGAATATCCTTAACCCCCATCTCACAAAGGACAGAGGTTTCACACCAGATGAAGAATAACAGGAGTCTTCAAATGTCTCCATGCACCACCCTGCTTGTGAAATAGGAGTTTCACTTAGAGAAATAAGACATCATGCCCTGCCTCCTGACCTGCTCAAGTAGCAGTACAGGGATTTTTCAAGGGAGAGACAGACTGTAAAAACAGAGCTACCAACCTCTCCCAAAGGGGAACTCACCTTATACGAACTGAATGTAAGCAAGTTTAAACCTTAGTGTACTCTCAAAAAAATAAATTGGACTACCATCATGCTAAGCTATTTACAGGAGGGGGTTGGTAGCTACAAGAGAGCAAAAAGCTAAACTGTTGGCAAGCTAGTTTACTAGGGACACCTTGGAAAGAGACAGGTAACAAGAGATCACCTGAAATCAGAGCAAATTTCCAACACTAGCTTCAAAAACTACCACTGAGGAGGAGGCAAAGTTTAACCGAATCATACCATAGAGCATTTTACATCTTGGGCATTGTCAAGGGAACAGAGCTTATCAGTTGGGTTTAATATCAGAGACAGACAGTAAGAGATTACAAAAGAAAGACAAAAGGAAGCCTACTAAAACCAATGTCATTCCAGGGTGACTATAATCATGCCCAAGACTGCACCCTCTGTGAAGTGATTGCAGAAACTTCACCTAGTATGGGGGAAAAAAGACTTCACTGAAATAGACCAGCAAAGTCACATATGATAGCAAAATAAGTCCTGAGGAAATGGGAGAGAAACCATCACCACCTAGAACTAATAAATTATCTAAAGGTCTACCAACCAGTGACTGGATAAAGGAAATGTGGTATACATATCCGCAAGAAAATATTTTTTACCCATAGGAAAAGGAAGTTTCTATTTCTAACAACATGGATGGACTTCAAAAGCAATATGCTAAGGGAAGCAAATCAGAAAAAGACCAATACCTTATGATCTCACCTATACATATAACCTAAAAAAAAAGGCTCAAAGATACAGAAGATTGATGGTGGCCAGAAGTATGAGTACAGAAGGGTAAAGCAGGTGAAGGCAGTTAAAAGGTATATCCAGTGACAAAGTAAGACCTAGGGATGTAATGTACAGCATGGACTATGGCATCAAGTTGCTTAAAAATATTAAAAATCTTAAGGATTCTGTAACCATGTCTGCTGACAGATGTTAACTTATTTTGGTGATCATTTCACAATGTAAACAAATTTGAAATATTATCTTGTACACCTGAAACTTATGCTTTAGATCAATTATGCCTCAAAAAAATGTGTATATGAATTTTAAGTGTGAGAATTTCAAAAATGTGGAAAGTGAACATACTAAGAATGAATGCAAAACGTAACTAGGAAGTTGAAAAGAGATGAAAAGATACTGTATGAAACATCGCATGCAGGAGAAGTAGTCCAAAGAGGGAAAGTTATAGCTATGTATGTCTATCCATAAAGAAATATTGTCAAGTCGAAAACCTTCTACCTGAAGACTTACACTTCTAAAGTTTTTTTCGGGGAAAAAAAAACAAACTAAATCAAGTATAAGTAATAAATGGAGATTAGAGCAAAAATAAAGTAGAAAAATAGGGGAAAAAATCAATGTCCAAAGTTCGTTCTTTGAAAGGATAAAAAGGATGGACAAATCTTTAGCTAGACAAACCAAGGGAGGGGGGAGATTCTAATTAGTGTAATCGGGAATCAAACGATGGATGTTCTATCTACCTCACAGAAATTAGGAATATAAAACTATGAACAAGTATGTTTCAGCAAATTCGATCAAATTTCAGTTTTCAAGAAATACATAAACTACAAAAGCATATTCAATAACAATTTAAATAGACCTGTACAATTAAGAAAGCTGAATTCAAAATTTTAATTTCTTACAAAGAAAAGCCCAGGCGGCTTCACTGGTTATACAAAAACAATCTTGAACACTAATTCCTCACATTATTCCAAAAAGTAACATAGGAAAGAATGCTTCCTAACTTACTCTGCAAGGTATTACCAAAACTAGACCAAAGGCATCATAAAAAAAAAGTACATTCATACAGACCAGAACCCTTCATGAATACAGATGCATAAATCTTCAACCAAATACTAACAAATTCGGCAACCAAGTGGGATTTATTCCATGAATGAAAAATTGATTCAATGTACCAAAATATCATTGTCATATATCATATTAATAAAGGGAAAAAATAAACACCATGTCAACAGACACAGAAATATCAACTGACAAAATGTCACACTCCTTCATTAAAAAAGCATGCAACTTATTAAGAACATAACTTGCTCTAGCCAACAAAGGGCAACTATGAAAAACCCATAGGTAACGTCATATTTGATAAAAACTATTTTTGCTTTAATACCAGGAACAAAAATATATCCACTGTCACTGCTTCTGTAAAACACTGTACTGAAAGTTCTAGTTAGGACAATTAGACAAGAAAATCCAATAAAAACCACCCAGAAAGAGTGAAACTATCTCAATTTGCAGACAGTATTCTACAGAAAGTCCTGGTGAATTCTCTATAAGCCTAGGAATAGATTTATTTGGGAAGAAGGCAGAGGACAAGATCAACATTAAATAATCACTTCTATCTCTATGCTAACAATGAACAATTCAAGAAGAAAAAATTCATTTACAATAGTGTCAGAAAGAAAATACTTAGTGTTTAACAACAACAACGAAAAATTAAAATTTTATTTTCTGAGATCTACAAAAGCATTTCCCAAGCTCCCATGTAAAAGCCAGTGTCGCTACCGACTCAATGACACCCATCCTCTTCTCAAGTCTTTCAGCAACAGTGTGACCACTCTCCTGCCTCGCCAAGTTTTATTCCTTCACTCAACTATCTTCAGTAGCATCCAAGCAATCTATGACATCTCCCATCAAGTCTTTCTTTGATCACACTTAGATTCTAGCTATGACCGAATTAGTCCTAGTGATGTTCAAACAAAACTCTGTTAATGAAGTATATCTGTACTCCTTAAATCTCTAATGTCTGTCTCTACTCATGTTCTCTGCAGTCTATTTCAGTGAGGACTCCCCCCTCAAATCCACAAAAATACTTTTACAAAAATCACCCATGACCCCCACATGGCCAAATCCAGTGAGTAGCTCTATCTTCAAGAGCATCTGTTCACCTGGCTTTGAGAAAACTTTCTCAAACATCTCACTC